CCCCGCCCCCCCACCGGCGGGGCGCCCGCTCATCCTCGCAGCCCAGGTGCTCCCCCTGTAGGGCGTACCCGTGAGCACGCGGCACGGTCGCCGCCGGGAAGGGAAGGGGGTGGCTCCCAGGGCCGCACAGGCCGCCCGGCAGAGCTCCCCCAGCGGGGCCCTGCCAGACCCGGACCGTTTCAGAGGCGCTGACTCCCTGCGAGGGGGACGGCCTCCCTTCGTCCACGACCGAAGGAAATCTTCTTACACAAGAGATTTCAAATACCTTAAGACAAGTCCCACTGTTCTTTTGTTTTCTCTCCTGCCCCCCGAATAACCCAGTTCCTCTTCAGACTTTATAAGCCGCGCTTCCCAGACCCCCACGTCCTGGGTCTTCACCCTCTAACGGAGAATGTTCTCCAAAAGTGGTGGGGAAGCCAGCAGGGAATCGGATGGGACCCTCACCTCCCACACTCACATACTGCTGGGAACAGAGCCCGAGGGGGTGTAAGACATTCTGCAGAGACACAAGGCTGTGGTCACCTGTGACACCCTGATCGCTTTCCCCCGACTCGCTGCCACATCCCCATTCAGTAGACCACTGAGAGCAACCTCTGGGAAATAACTTTCGATTGATGTTTAAACCTAGATAAAGGGCTTTACGTTCATCCCTGCTGAGCTCGGCCTCACTGGCTAAGCCGAGCGTCTGTAAGTGTGATGACACTTGCTTCAGTCATTTGTGTTGTCTGCAGGGCTGCATGATTCAAGTGCCTCATTCTGAACTATTTATAGCGTCTCTGTGGGCCCTAACAACAAACAAAAACTACTAAGAGTACTGCGCAGAGGACGAAACACATAAATGAGTAAGTGACTTCTGCCGCGCTGCGGTTACCCGCCCGTGAGTGAGTAACAGAGAGAGGCGGGGCGTGGAGGAGCTGAGAGGCCGCCCTGTCCGCCGCCCCCACGCGAGGGGGGACTGGGACACATCCTTGCCGGAAGCGCAAGATTATCTACAGAGCTGCATCGGAACGCTCAAACGCAGCAAGCGCCTAAAAGGCTTCTGTGGAAACTGTCAATAAGGCTCCTGCCAATTCTGTGACTTGGAAGGTGTGCGTGGCCTTCTCTGAGTAACCAGACTTTACCAACCAGTTATTTAAGATGAGCACGCAGGAAGTCTGGCGGGAAGGCTGCAAATAATGATGACACTAATAATAATACTAACAGCGATAATAAAAGTAACTGGGCACATGCTCCGTGCTTGACACTGCTAACACCTGGTGTGCATTAATTCACTCACTCACTGCAGGCACCTGTGCTGCGTGCACCCCCCCGACACAGATAGGGCTGAGGCACAGAGAGGTTGGCAGCTGCCCCGGGTCACACAGCTAGTGGGCAGCAGGGCCAGGATCTGGTCCCAGGGGGCGGCCGCCCAATCTCTTAACCACACACCAGCTGCCCACACGCTGCCAAGGCCAATAAAAGCTCTCTTTTTCTAAGTTTAAGAATTTTTCATCAGAACAGAACTCGATGCCAGGCTACTGCCAAGTCGTTAAACTGAAAGTTGCAGGTCAAGTGAACAGATGGGCTCCTTTCTGTTCCGGTTTTCAGCAGCCCCTTCGCACAGCTTCCCTGAGCCCAGTCACGGTCCGCAGATTCTGACCGAGGAGCATCAGGCATCAGAGTGGAGAGACCTGATGAAGGCAGGGGTCGGCTCACTTGTTCCGGAAAGAGCCAGACGGCAAACGTGGGAGGCTCTGTCTCGACCACTCAACTCTGTGTCGGAGTGGGAGCCCCGCCAGGGGAAATGTGTACGCACTGGGCATGGCCAGGTGCCAATAAAACTTCACGCACAAAACGGACTCTGGCCCACAGCCTGTAGTCTGCTGACCCCGGGTCGTGAGTCCCATGGCAAGGGTAAGGACAGAAAGCTGCCCCACGAGTCTCCAAAACCTACCGGCCAGATAGCCGTGTCCGCCGCACGCCTCCCGGCATTCCTGAATTCCCCGCTGGGCAGTCCACGAGGCCAGGGACTTGCCAGCTGACGCCAAGGCGTGGATCTCACGTCCGAGCTCTGCCTTGGGGGAGGGAAGCCAACAGAACAGTGAAAAGAGGCCCCGACACCAGAGGTCGGGGTCAGGTCCACCCAAGCATCAGAGGCCTTCGTCCCCTCCAGGCTAATCTGAGACACTCGGCAACGACAAAAGAAAGAAACCCAATTTTAGCTTAAAAGTAATAGGATTCATCTAAGAATGGACACACTCATGTAATTTCACAGCAATGAAAATAAAGGACCACAGCTCGGCCCGGCAGGCACGCCCCGGGGGCTAAGGCTGGTCACAGAAGAACCCGTTCTGACTCGGCTCACAGCGTGACCCCAAGTGCCGGGCGTCTTTGCTGAGACCAGGAAGGAACGCGGCAGGTGGGGGGCGGTGCCGGGATGCTGGCCCCCGAGGACCGCAGTCCAGGTCACCCACTGCCCTATCCGCAGGGGGCCGACCCAACCTCCCCTCCTGACACGTCTGGTAAATACTCTTTCGCTTTGACTCGATGTTTAATAAAAAACGGTTAGAGAGAAATGCACACGTGCCTGCTAACACGATCCACCTCAGCAGTGTTTGCAGCTTCCAACGAGGGCTCCTTTAACCTGTGCCTGGGTTAAACCTCTGAGCTTCAGAAAGAACAGGGCACGATTAACTACCCTTCACAACATTACTAACAGAACGATTCCAATGTCAGCTGGCCAAAGCTTCAACGACTCGCACTCGGGGAACAGGCATACCGGCGTTCCTGATGGAAAGGTCCTCGCGGACCAGCAAGCCGGCCTGACTTGCTCCGCAGCGCCCCCTGCTGGCCTCCCAGCGCCCCCACCACCTCCCGACGCCTGCATGTTTATGCTGAGTTTTCCAAGATGTGCTGATTTGACACAGGCTTTTCAGGGTGTGGCACACTGCCACCTGCAGCATTTCTCATCAGTTTTTAAATGCATTTATTGTGATTCACACTTCACTTCTGCCCAGGCGGGAGCATGAGGCGGCCGCGGAAAATCAATCCGTGAACTGTCCACACAGAAATGAGCCAAGGACTCCTTTTTACGTCGGGGCTGATCCCAGGGGATTTGCACGCTCATCTCTGGCACAAAGCCTCGCCTGTCAACTCAAATCTAGTCAGCTGGAGCCCAACCTTTGTAGGGCTGTTTACAAAAGGATCAGAACCATGAACTCTACTGAGGGGCCAGCAATGTGGATTGTGCAAAACCATCAAGTTCTCAAGAGGGGAGCAGCAGCTGAACTCACAGACGGGAACTGGGAGTCGCGTCAGCACATCCTTGAGGAACGGGGATGTGGACACGTGCCCAGCGCGTCCAGATGACGGCCAGGATTCTGAAGGTCTGCGTGGGTGCACACAACGGAAGGAATGCGTCCCTGCGAAGCCACACTGTGGACCCCGGTGACATTTAGACGATGATCAGCACTGCGGAGAAGAGCGGGCGCAGCTCTTACCTGCGTGGCACTCCGGTCGTTCCCCAGGAGGCCATGCTGAAGCTTCCCCATGTCCAGGAAGAGAGATTTGGAAAAGTGGTCCAAGGCGTAGGTGGCCGCCAGGTACGGGAGTAAGCGCCATTGCTGAAATAAACAAAACCGCTGTCGGCACACCTGCAAGGCCTCCTGAGAACCCGCACCTCCCGGGGTGGCCGTGCAGGACGGGCGCGCCAGGAGCCCCCATCCACTGTCGCAGGCAAATGGTCCTGCACATCTCTGGCACCCACCCCCGTGAAGCCTGGACCCCACGGCTCTCCAACCCAGCCAGTGCTCCCCCTCCACCCCAACGACCCCACTCAAGGCACACCTGTGCCACGTGCAATGCCCTGCTCACCCCCCCACCGCTACGTCGCCAATGTGGCCCCTGGGCCAGACTAAATGCAGCCTACACGGGACCAAGGAAGCCAGGCTGCTGCGCCAAGTGTGGGGCCACCAGGCAATCCCTGTGCTTCCTGAGCGCCCGAGGACTGAAGCAATCGCCCCCAGGCCCGACGGGGAAGCTGAGGCTCATGGAGAGCTGGAGGGAGCATGTCTCTTTCACCAGCGCACCCCCACTGCTGTGCAGATGGAGGCTAGGGAGCCAGGAAGGACCCGGGCAACCACCACCGCTGCCGGCACCACCATCCTCTACCGTCTGCTGGATGCGGGCACGGCATCAGCTGCTCCTCACGCACTAACGTATTCAACCCTCACAACCACCCATGAAGAGGTACTACTGCCAGTCCCAATTCATAAATGAGGAAAGTGCAGCACAGAGAGGTTCAGTGCCTTGCCTGAGGGCACACAGCAGGGAGAGGGTGGACCCGGGGCTGGGAGCCCAAGCATGTGGCTCTCGGGGGCTCTCGTAACCCCGGGCCCATGCCCGGTGGCCAGCAGTCACGTGCGCTGTGACCTCACAAAGGCCACGGGTCGGGGGGGTGGGGGGTCCTGTGTGTCGCCCAAGTATGAACCAGGGCTTCTCCTTACTTGCTTGTATTAAAAGAAGTGTGAAAAGGTCCAACTGCGATTCAGTTAAAGTTTCCTGAAGTTTCACTCGAATACACCTTGGCCCAAGACCTGGGCCTGATTTAGCTGCTAATTCTTGACAGGGGTCATCAGGGTGGTCACTCCAAACAGCCTGCTGTGAGGACCAGGTGTGCGGGCAGTGTGTGTGGAAGGGCTGGGGACGCAGAGGCATCACTGTGATAAAATGCATCCCCAACCCCATCCAGGCACCTGGGTGATGCTCAGCTGGGGCTGCAGCTCTGCCATCAAAGGACTAGTGTCCCCTCTGCTAAGGATGTCACCATGAACTGGGCGGGACCCTTGGTGGCTGTGACCTGGGGCTGCATCTCAGGGATGGGGTGAGGGCGTGGGAGCGTGGCCTGGACGTGCAGGGTCTTCCCCATAAGCTGGGTGAGCGTGCACGCCCATCTCCCATAGTCTTGCCGGGCGCCAACCCAGGTCCCTGACCGAGGCTGCCTGCACACACCCCTTTTTAACTGAAGACCGTGAATGAAGACCACTGGCGCCCCAGATGCTCCACTCCTTCCCCGCAGCTGCCTGCGCTCACACTGCTGACGGCCTGAGTCAGCTCAGCTCCCGGTAACCGAGCTGCAGCTCCCACAGGAGCAGGTCTCTGCTTGCAGGACAGAAGGAAAGGGAAGCCACACTTGTGAAACCCACACCTGCATCTGATACTCCAGCACCGGTACCTCCTCCTCGCCTGTCGGTCCAAACTGGCGCCTGGTGGCTGAGAACCGCAATGCTATGGACACGGCCAGCTTTAAGCTGGTGACGGCCATACCCACGATGGAGACCCGGCCTGTGGACAGGCTGCCCAGAGACGCTCCGAAGCGCTGCCTGACGTCCTGCAGGGGAACGCAGATTAATGTGGGATCATCGACGGTCGCCTGGGGGACAGGCACGGGGATGGGGGAGGACTCCTTTTTCTTTACTGGTTCAATACTGCCGGCCCCGCCCCGGGCACCCAGACACAGACCCCCAGGCCCAGGCGGGCCGAGCCGCAAGGAGGGCTGGTGTCCTGTGAACTGTTCTGGGATGGTGTGGGTGGCACGGGGGACACACAGTGGCATGGGGACCTGCAGGCTGCCAGCTGGGGGTCCTGAAGCTCCGCTCTTTGACCCCACCGAGAACCAGACACAGCTCAGGCTGCAGGCAAGGCGGGGACCGGGGACAGTGTGCCCAGCTGCACCCATGTTTGTTTTTGAAATGGGCTCTGTTCCCCACCCCCTGGAACTCCTCTCTCCCCTCAAACAACCACTCTAAGAGGTGTGATAACCACCTGCTGTTCTCTGTGGTCTTTTAAAACGGGTAATTGCCCAGGCGCACCTATTTTTAATGTGTTGTAAATCTCAACACGCTTACTGCACGCCGGGGTGCGGTCGGCCCCAGACACCAGAGACCGCTGTTTGTCACTGTGGATGTGCACGGCCCAGCAGGCGACCCTTTGCCTCAAAGCCCCCGGTGGGAAACAGCACTGGTGGGGACAGCCTCCCTAAGCGTGACCCTGGGGGGCTGGCGGAGGCGTGAGGCATTGTCATTGCGCCTGGAGCCCTGAGGGCGGCCGACCCCGATCTGCACCTGCATCTGGACAGGCTCGCACGGGCCGCCAGCAGCTCCCGTGGTCCGTCCCCTCCTCTGAGCACAGGGGGCCGGGGTCTGGTGGGCGTGGCGGGGACGGCTTCATCACCCACCAACTGCCCTGCTGGAAGCACCGCTACCTTAAAGGAGGTGACGTAGGCGCCCTCAGGGGTGACGTCGCCCATGCGGTTCAGCAGGTCCTGGCGAGGAATTCTCACCTTGTGAAACAGGGCAAACCTGTGAGGGGAGACAGTGCTTCCGGTTAAACTGGCCCCCGGGTCGATCTCTTCTCGCTTCCAAAAGCCAGTCAGATAAAAGCCCAGGACGGCTCAGAAGGTGGCAGAACCCACAGAAGACACAACCAAACCCAGCTGGGACAGAAGACACCGGAAATCAGGACATTGCAAGACACCATTCTACCCAAGAGCGCACGTTTACCAGGAGAGTGTGTGTGAGTGTGTGTGTGTGTGTGTGTGTGTGTGTGTGTGCGCAACACGGTGTGGCAAAATCAGGTCAAACTGAGGTTTTAAATCGCTCCCTCACAAAAGCCTAGGGACAAGGTTATGCCAGGTAACCGGAGGGGCATAGCTTGTGCCAAAAACCCAAACCACCTCAAAACATCAACAGCCCCCACAGCACCTTATCTGACCACTAAGCACTGTCAGTGTCACACAGAACGTTCTTTCACGACCCACAGGAACAGCTTTGGGAAAATGGCAGCACCCTGCAGAGAAGGGGGACAGCTCTCCAGCCCCCTCCCTCCCACGTTGCTCCCACTCTGTTCCAAGCCTGTGCCCGGCACCCGAGTCACCATCCAGAGTCACCGCCTGTCCTGCACGGGGGAGCAGAGGCGTCTCTAAACTCCAGCTTGGAATGTCATGTCCAGCACGAGACCATTGGACCCCTAGGACCTGCAGGATCTAAACCCAGAGAGATGTGGAGAGCCCTCTGACGGGACCCCTGTCTGCTGCCCCATCAGCACCTCACTCCTCGCAGCCCGCGGCTGGGTCAATCTGCTCGTGATCTTCGAGCCGGCCAGGCCCTCTCCTGACCTCCAGGCAGGCAGCCCTCAGAGTGCGGCTACCGCCTCCAGGAAGCCTGCCGCGATTCTCCTCCATGCCCTGCAGTGAGTACCAGGTGGTCTCACTCTGCAGAGATTGCCCGTCGTCCACGCTGCTCGCTGAGCCACCTGCGTGTCAGTGACAGTTCCCAGGGGCCTTCTCACCCTGTCATAATGGGGCCACATGCCTGGAACCTACTGGACACTTCAGAAGGGTCATGGAATGAAGCAACTGCGGGAGAGACATCATCCTTGGGGAGCTGGGGTCACCTCCACCAAACCCCGAGTCCTGGGACAGCCTTGGAGGGTAACAGAGCAGCACTTTCCAGCGCAAGAGTGGAAGGGCAGAGCCCTGGGCTGGACGCAGCTGGTCGGGGGGCCCCTCCCACGTTCCTTCACAAGCGACTAGGATTTCTGCACGAGGCCACTAGGCCCCAGCTGGTGTTCAGGTGAGGAGCCAATATCTGTGAGTCTCCCTCCTATGTGTGAAACGCAGGCCAGCCGCACTCCAGCTCCCAGCAGGCCCTGTCGAGACCCTGAAGGCACTGCCTGGGGTGAGCCACTGCATCACAGCCTTTCTGGGGCCGCTCTGACCGGCCCAGAAGGCCCACGTTCTGAGGCCCACTTTCCAAGGACGCCCGGCCCCGGCGCCGATGCCCCTGGCAGGGTCCAGCTCGCTACTTGCAAGCCGAGGGATGCTCTTCCAAGTGTGAGCCTGAGAATTCAGAGTGCCCTCTTCATCCTCCTCTGCCCCCCAGAGGTGACACAAGTCAGTGTGTTTATACTTCAGAGAGGATTTGCTTCAGTTTAACTGAAATCAAGACTTCACACGTTCTGTTTTGAGCACTTCTACGTGGCAGGAGCTGCTCCAGAAACAGTCAAATGGTGGCCAGACTGTGGGCCAGCCTGCAAGCCAGACTCCCAGTGTCCCCAGAAAACATGGGGGTGTGTGCATATGACGTGGAGAGTGAGCGACATGGCGGGGCTGGTGGGGCTCCCAGATCTCATGCCTGGGCCCCTACCCCACGTCCTCCTCGCTCCTCGAGACCCCGCTGCAGTCACACCCGACCCGGGGCCCAGGCGGCACTGGACGTCCTCCCGCCTCCTGGAAGCTGTGGCTCACTGGCTCTCCTGAGGGGTCCCCACCGTTCTGATGCTAGAGTTATTTGGCAAAAGTCACCCAAGCAATTTGTCTGCCTCTGATTTCCCACCTCCCTGGGAATTTTCATCAAGTGACAAAAGCTAACCAACAGATCGTTACCGCTTTTCTCAAAATAAACGATCTCGGACAACAGTCACTAAATCACAACACTGCCCCTTGAGCAGCAGGCAGAGCGAGCCCCAGCATCTCCTGTGTCCCTGAAGCCCCCTGTTGGGCATGCACACCAAGGCCGGAGGGGACGAGGGGCCAGGAGGGGAACTCGGGCACCATGGGACCTTCAGAGGCTCAGGGACGGAGCATGGCTGCTTCGACACCCTGTCTGCCCAGTAGGTTGGGTGACCTTGGGTTTGGGGAGCCTTTCTTAGCTGGCCTGGGCGGGGTGGTCCCCATGCCGCCCCCTGGTGGCACCGAGCTGGCACTTCAGAGTTTCCGAGCCCTGTTCACCACAACGTGCAATCCATGTGTTTAGGGGAGCCTTGGCCACGCTGGTGTGACTGTGGGTGCTCTGCTCAGCGCTCCTCGGGACCATCACGGTAAGATACAAGCATTCAGCCTCGAAGGACAGAAGCTGAGCTGAGGGAACTAAGTGGGGTCGCTGCTGTGCACAAAGAAGTAGGTACGTAAGAAATCCTGGGGCACAGTGTGAGCTGCACGACTAGGGAACCCCCGGCTTTGCTTTCCCCCTTTAGTAAGCATCTCAGGGGAGCAGGGAGCCCTCTCGGCCAGGCTTCCCAGGAGACGGAGTGTAAGTCCCACTGCACGGGTGAGGAAGCACCGACAGGTAGCAAACGGCCGGGAAGACCACGTCCTTGGTCCCCAGACGGGAATCACACAAGGGCCCGGCACAGGGCCCACGTTCTCCTCACAGACAAGGGGACAGGCCGGGCGAACACAAAGAGTCAGAGGTGGACCAAGGATTTGAATCCAAATCTGGCTGATTCCAAAACTCATGCCATTAATAATCCCAGGAATCTGCAGTGAGACCACAGGTTCTCCACGACGCGGTCCCTGCCCTCCTCCCAGCACGCTGCAGGGCCTCACAGCGCCCCGACCCCGGAGTCTTATCTCAGACCACGCTGCCACCTCTGCCCAGAACACTGCTCTGCCCTCAGAATCGCCATGGAACCGCACCGGATGCCCAAGCTCCGGGGGAGGGAGGCAAGCCCCAGGCCACGGGCTGAAGCCCCAGGGCTGCCAGTGTCTGGCCTGGGCCTGGGCTGAGGGCTGGAGAGGCCGCCTGCCGGGGAGAAAACTGCTTGTCTTGCGCTCGGGGCCATTCACACCTCCTGCAGTTGCAGTTCAAGTGGCCATGGCCCTCCATGGCACGGAGGTGAGGCGCGTCCCCACCGTATTCTGCTTGCCTCCACGGGGGTCCAGGAAGGCAAGGGGCAGCACGGAAGGACCGGTGAGGTGACAGGTAGAAATACACCGAACACACATCCTCAAGGAACGCCCCCCCGAGGACGGATCACCGAGTCCAAGGTGCGCACTCACCCGTTGTCCAGGCCGTTCTGCCCGAGCTTCTTCCCAATGTCGCCAACCATCACCCCTGGCATGGGAAGAAGGGTCTTTGGGTCTCGAATCTGTGCAAACCACAGAAACAGCGACTGTCACGACCACACAAAAATCAAAATGAACATGTTCAAAAACCCCAGTGACTGAGACACAGGCTCCCTCTGCGTAGCTGCAGTGGATTCAAGTGTCCTCCGGAAACGCGACCTTATTAGGAGGAGGCTCCACTGCAGAGGGAACGAAGGATCTGGAGATGAGCTCACCCTGGACCACCCAGGTGGGCCCCAGACCCACGGACCAGTGTCCTCTAAGAGGAGGCGATGACATGGAGAGAGGGATGCCACCTGAAGATGGGGCCAGAGACGGGAGAGAGGCAGGCACAGCCCAGGAACAGCTGGTGCCCCCCCCCCCGGAGCCGGAGGAGGCTGGAAGGACCCTCCCCTGGAGCCTCCAGGGAGAGCGTGGCCTTTCTCACATCTTGATCTGGCCTCGTGGCTCCAGTCTGTGAGACGCTCAGTCTCTGTTGTTCTGGGCCCCTAGTTCGCGGTGCTCTGGTCATGGTGGCCCAGGACACTGATGTAGAGGCTGAGCGGTACATGCTGCCAGGAGGACGCTAGGCGTTTCATGTTTATGTTTTAGATATGGGACTCCGCTGGATTTTAATGAAAAGACAAGATGGCTGTGCACGTATGTGCTGTGGGGGAAACAGCGTAAGATTATTTTTGTGAGTCTCTGCTCCCCAAAATGAGCTTCCAACAAATATACATACCTAAAAGACACAGAGGGGAAGGGCACAGCTCAGTGGGAGAGCATGTGCTCAGCGTGCACGAGGTCCTGGGTTCAGTCCCCAGTGCCTCCATTTGAAAAGAAAAAAGAAAATGCGAATCAAACCACAACCAGGTAACTTCTTCACACACTAGGGTGGTTATGGAAAAAAAGAAAAGAAAGAAAGAAAACAACAAGGGCTGGTGAGGATGTGGAGAAACTGGAGCCCTCGACGCCGCTGGTGGGGAGGTAACACGGCGGGAACTAGCACAGGATTCTAAACAAGCCCAGCACAGAATTACCATCATGACCCAGCACCTTCGGTCCGGGGTTCGTACCCCAGAGAACTGAAAACAGGTGTCCAAACAGACACTGCTCTTGAACGTTCACAGTGACATCATTCCCAAGAGCCAAAAGACGAGAAACCTCCCAGCGTCCATCAAAGGACAAATGGGTACACACACTGCGGTCCCTCCACACAGCAGATCGACCGTTCAGCCTTAAAAAGGAAGGGGATCCTGGCACAGGCTGCAATGGGGATGAACCTCAGAAACGTGTGAAGGGTAAAGAAGCTATGGTATATTTACGCAATGGAACACTGCTCAGCCAAAAGAGAATGAAACAACGCCACCCGCAACAACACGGATGGACCGAGATCATTGTACTAAGTGAAGCCAGTCAGAAAGAGAAAGAAAAATACCACACGATATCACACATGTGGAATCTTAAAAAGGACACAAACGAACTTATTTACAAAACAGAAGCAGACTCACGGACACAGAAAGCAAACTTGTGGTTACCAGAGCGGGAAGGAGTGGGGAGGGATAAACTGGGAGTTCAGGACTTGCAGATACTAACTCTATGCACAACACAGACAAACAGCAAGGTCCTACTGTACAGCACAGGGGACTATACTGAAAAGCTTGTAATAACCTATAATGAAAAAGAACATAAAAAGGAACAGACGTCCAAGTACAGCTGACTCACTATGCTGCACTTCAGAAATAAACACAGCACTGTAAACCAACTATACTTCAATAAAAACAAAAACAAAACAAAAAAGCAGGCGGAGGGAAAGAAGCCAGACACCAAAGCTCACAGAGCACGTGATCCTTTTTAGACAAAGCGTCCCAGAGAGGCAGACCAGGGGAGACCAGGGGCTGCCAGGGCTGGGGTGGGGGGCGGGGGAGGGGAGTTGGTGCTGAGTCGGGGGGGGCGAGGGTCTTCCAGAGATGAAACATTTCGAGGGGGCTGGCTGCACAACACCATGAATGCACTGAAAGCCACTCCACTGTTCCCTTAAAATGGTTAACTGTATGTTACATGAATTTCACCTCAATTTAAAAAAAATGATGCTTTTCTTCTCTCCTGAGAGCTCCCTCCCCCATCCGAAAAGTCCTGGAGACTAAGGATGTCGGAATGAGTCTGGGAGTAGGGGAAGTGGTTCCCTTCAGCACCCAGCCCGCCCAGAGAAAGGGTCCTGGATGAGCTTCTGGAGCTCCGGGCCCGGGGAGGCCGCAGCAGCCTCGGGCAGGCGGGAGATGGGCTGGCCGCCTGCCCCAGGCCCCTCTGCTGGCCAAAGCTCCACTTGTGACCTAGGAAGAGCCCCAAGTCAACTTCACATCAGAACTCCTGGAGCCCCTCGGGCCTGCTGCCAGAGCCCAGGGTGAGCAGGGGTGGGTGGTGGGCTAGGAACTGGGTTCTGTGCCAGGTGTCCATGTGATGCCAGCGTGACCTCTGGGAGGATGGAGAGTCTCCCCCAGATGATCCTTGGCCAGCGCTTCAGGGGTTCTCAACGGTGGCAGCCCTGACATTCAGGGCTGATAATTCTTCCAGGGTGTGTGGGGGGCTGTCCTGGGCACTATGGGGTGTTTAACCATACCCCTGGTCTGTATCCCTAGAAGCCAGAAGCTGCACCACCCCGAGCTGCGATGAAAATGTCTCCAGACTTGGGGTACACCCGGTCCCTACCTGCACGACAAAGGGGTGCAGCCCGTGGCACTGGCCCCCCGGTGTGTACAGCTGAGCGAAGAGCACAGTGTGCGTAGCGGTCTTGCCCATGTTGCCGACCCAGAACTTGGCAGATTCGAAATCAGGGGAGTGTAGGATGAACTCCTGCACAAGGGAAAGAAGTTACAGTTACAGTTAGAGACTGGAGCACATGAGGAATGTCTCTACCTCTTTGATACACTCGATTTTCTCTGCTCAAAACCTCTGAGGCAAGAGTAAGGATGGACTGAATATTATGTCCTGGGTGGCCCAGGATGCAGAGGGCAGGGAAGAGAAGGCGGGCAGCTGGCCCAGAGAGCCTGGCCGCAGGCAGGGGACGCAGACAGGCAGCTAGAAAGGGAATCTTCTCTCGTCTGTTCATTTTATAAAGCATGAGCAATTGGAACTGTTTACAAACCCAAGGCCAACAGGCTGCCTGGTAAACCAAGAATCAAATGTTACAAAATAGATACATAGTGTCTTCACCGCATTCAAATGCCACACAAATCCAAACCAGGAGAGATTTCAAGGTGGGAGTAGCTTCTGCCCTTTCTCTGCTGAGCTCCGCGTGACACATCCCCGTGTGCACCTCACAGGGATGCACACGAATAGACGAGCTTCTTGGTCTCATTACTCTTCACTCCTGACAACGCTGTGTTTCATACGCTTGAGGCCTTGAGGCCCCGAGACCGGATGGATGGGAGGGGGCCACCTACCTCAGTAGTAGGGTCGTAGTGAGCAGTCGTCCGGATGGCTTTGGTGTTACTCCCATGACTCAATTCGGTCAGAGCAAAACAGCCGAAAATCTAACGTGGAAGCACAAAATGCCATGAAGCGAGAAAGGCTCCTTCTGCACCTTCCTGGGGGGACCTGCCACCATCCTTCCTCTGCCGCCGACACCACAGCTCAAAGGCCCCGATCTCACTGAGCCACTCTGCCGCGCTGGGCCCCGTGCCTCCCAGCTGTGAGAGCGGCAGGCTGGACGAGCGGACCGCGGCCCCGCCGGGTCAGCACCGCGGCAAGGACAGCTCCCAGGCAGCAGAAGGAAACCACAGACCTAAGTTTTGATTAAGCAAAAGCGAAGGGCAGCAAGGGAGCCATATTCAATATCTTGTAGTAACTTATGGTGAAAAAGAATATGAAAATGAACACATGAATGTTCACGTATGACTGAAGTATCGTGCTGTACATCAGAAACTGACACAAAGTTGTAAACTGATTATACTTCAATAAAAATATATATTAAAAAAAAAGACAAAAAAAAGGAAAAAGTGAGGGGTGCAGCGGGATGGGGGAGGGCACAACTCAGTGGTAGAGCACGTGCTCAGCATGCACAAGGTCTTGGGTTCAGTCCCCAGCACCTCCATTAAAAAAAAGAAAAACAGAAAAAAAAATGCCCATTTGAAAAAAAAATTAAGAAAAAGATAAATTTCTACCCCGCTGGGAATTTGGCACACCCTGGTTTAGTAGAGGACAGCTCTGGCTATCTGGTGAGAACCCTCAGAACACCACAAAATACCCAGAGCATCTCTAAGGAGGTGACAGAACAGGAGGCCATGACTCACCCAGCTTACCTCCAAACTGAAGATCTTTGGGATATATTTGAAATGCCTTTCAGAACCAGAGATGTAAATCGTGGATCCAAAAGTCTGGAAATAAAATGCCACCACGTAAACAGGTGGAAGTTAGTAAGTGCCGTTCTGGGACTTCCCCACAGCTGTGCACTCCACACCCGCCCCAAGGTGGCTCCTCAGCGTCACATCACCCCATGGGCGAGGAACTCAGATTCCGAGGGGCTACCTAAGAGCGCTGGTGCCCAAGGCCCGGCGTCTCCCGAGACACGGCCGCCTGGCCTGGAGCTTACGGAGCGGTAAGACCTGGGTCCTTGTCCCAAGCAGTTTACGTGAGTTAAACAGAACTGAGTGGATCCGTGAACAAGGAGATGGAGGTGGGGTTGGGGGCGAGGTGCAGGAAGGGCAGAGAGCCCACCTCTCCCTCAGACAGCACCAGGACAAGGCCGTCCCCCTGCGTGTCAGAAGGCGGGAACACAGGCCTTACCTTGGCCCTAATTTCCCTTTCTTTTTTTTTTTGTCATTATTTTTTTACTTTCATTTTTTAAAATTTTGTAGGGGGGAGATAATTAAGTTTATTCATTGATTTATTTTTAGAGGAGGTCCTGGGGATTGAACCCAGGACCTTGTGCATGCTCAGCAAGCACTCTGCCACTTAAGCTATACCCAGCCCCCACCTCGCTTTCTTTTTTGGGGCATAAGGACTTACGTGTGCAGATGTGCATCCAGAGCTAGAAAAACCTGGACTTCCACTAAGAGTCACAAGGTCTGCCCACTTGGCCTTACCTCTGCTTTTGTTTCCTATAGTTTTTTAGAAATCTCTTTAAACAAACATCAGCCAAATGTGTAAATCTCCCAAAACTTTAGAAGCATGGAAATGCTGACAACCTCCCAACCACAGAGGAAACCATCTGCATCTCACAGGCTGAGTGTGTTTGATACCCTGGTCGTTCTGGTCCCTGGACAGACACTGTCTTGGCCTCGTGGTGTGGGGACAGTGAGGGCCCACACTTCTCTCCCAGGCGCTGACTCACCAGGAGGTGCAGGAAGAATTTGGTGGCCAGGGACCAGTCGTACATGCCGAGGCACTCAACCAGCGCCCGGATCCTCCAGGGGATTCCCAGCACGTCCTCCATGGGGAGGAAATCATATTCGAAGATCCGCTTGCAGCGCAGGAAGTTCAGCTCCTGGTACTTCTCCACCGAGAGATCACTTCCACGGGGATGCGCGAAGAGGGGGTCACTCTCCAGAGCCGAGAAGACAGCGTTCTGGGAATGCAGGAGGTGGGGAAGGGCTAATTTGGAGGCAAAGGATGGGCTCTCACTACGCTCTTGCTTACACAGTTTTCTCAAGGCCACCGGCTACCTCGGACACACAGTCTAATGCAGAGACACAGGGACAGAGATGAAAGTCCATCCCAGAGAGGGAGGCAGGGAACCAGGGAATTGAAACCTGGACCTACTATTCAGAGACTCCTGTAAAGTTTAAAAGTAACTTCTAACTGACCTCAGAGAGCAAATGAATAATGGAAGCAGCCCCACTGGCGGAGCAGAAAGCCCTGACCTGATCTAGTCTCTGCGACCACATTGTTCAAGGGTCTTGCCGGCTCACCTAACCTGGGTCCTCATTACCTGATCTTGTTTTTGCGGAGTGTTTGTTCCACAGAGCAGGACAAACTGGAAAGCAAGTAGGAAAAGAGAAGCCGATGGAGGGAGACAAGCAGCCAGAGAAGACGGATAAACGGACCCAGCGGGACCCCGAGAGCGGGAGTGCTTATACCCAGCTGCCTGGGCTGACAGCTCCCTGACTTAAGTGTCTTTTCCTCTTCTGAGCAATAAAGCAGCCTTCCACTTTGCTCCTTGGCCTCTGCTGAGAATTCTTTCTCAACCAGCAGGCAAGGGCCCACACTCTCTGTGGGGTTTCGAATCTGGGCCTCTCTCTATCCGCTAACACAGTAGAGAGCAGAGGGCCCTGAGGCGTGGGAGGTCTAATCCATCCGTGTTCATCCATCCAGAGCTCCCAACAATTCCCCGGCACTGTCCAGAGCCTGAAGAGGAGAAAGGCCTGGGCAGGCCCAGGACTCGCCCCACCTTTTTGTAGATCCGTAAGACGCCCCCCCAGACCCCGCCCGCAGGGGTCCCCATGGGCAGCACTGCCCAGTCCCGGCCTCACCTTGAAGCGCAGCACATCCTCGCCCTCCAAGAACAGCGCCAGCTCCTTCCAGCAGAAGGAGGCGCGGGCACGGGCCGCGTGCAGGGGTCCCCGGGGCGGGTCTGGTAGCACCAGGACATCGCTTCCTTCCTCGGGGGGGCGCCATCGCTCCACGTCCACCTGCAGAGACACGCTCTGAGTCTGTGCGTGCCGCCCAGTCACACCCTCTGGGGCCACCGCAGAAGCGCAGCGTAGTGCAAAGAAGAGACCAAGAAACCGATAGGCTCTGACTGCAAAGGGACAGTCGGAGGGAATTACCACCCAAGAGCTACCGTCCCCCTTCCCAGGACAGGACGGTGGGGCGAGCGTGCATGTTTTCACTCCTGAACAGAGATGCCCAGGGCCTGGGCGAGAGCACACGGCAGTCACGCGGTCGGTGCTGGGAAGCTCCAAGGAATACAGGCTGCAGCGAGCCTGGGCCACTGGGGAAGAGTCCAGGGCTCTGTGTGCTCCAGCCTGGCCTGAATACACGCTCCTCTTCACTTGGGGCCAGCCAGGCCCACTGCCCAGGGAGCCTCACCCAAGAGTCTGCTCACCGGTCTGCTCTGGCCCCCCCCAGAGTCCCCTTGAGCAGGTCTGGATGGGGGATGTCGGCCACAGACCCCGTGTGTGACTCCACTTGGTGTAGGGGCATCTGGCTTCCCACTAAAGAGCAACCCAGCTCTCTTGTCCAAAGGATCATTCTGGGATTTTCTGAGCAGACTGGCTCTTTTGTACAGTGCCTGGGCCAGTGGAGGCGTGGACGGGAGAGGCTTGAGAACGCAGACCTGGAGGGACACCGGGAGAGCAGAGTCCTGGGCGTGGCCCCAGCTGAACCCTTTAAGGCCCACAGAACCTTTAAATCCTTCTAGCTGATTGTTAGAACAGGATGCCAGGCTCTGAGTACGATGGGTACTATACATGAGAAACCAAGTGGATGGGTAACTTGCCTTGTTGCTGTTTTGATTACAGACATTACAGAACAAGCTGAATGAAAAAACAAAAGCAATTTGCACCCCAAGTTCAATGAAAATAAGCAAGAATGCCCAGTCTAACAACAGCCCCCAAGTCAGTGCCCAGTCCAACACCAACCCCCTAACACTTTCCTGTATTTTGCAATATAGGAATTTTGCTTTCCTATAAATTGCAAACTCCCTAATGAAAAACATTGCTCTTGGCTTTGGTAATACCAAAGATTGTAGCTATGTGATGACCTTTGTAGAGATGAGAATCATGGTGGGGGGGGATTTTCTTCCCCCACAGTGAACAAACTATACCCTTTGAACTATACTATTAGTCCTTTTTTTTATTCAATGGAGGTGCTGGGGATTGATCCCAGGACCTCAGTGCATCCTAAGCATGTGCTCCACCACTGAGATATACCCACCCCCTGGAACTTTTCTGTTTTGTTCTGTGCTCTTTATTTGGACAGCCAGTTCTTCTGAAGTCAGGACTTCCTTGCAGAATTGTTTTTAGTACGTTGGTTCTTTTAAACTCAGTTGTCACTGTGTCCTCCTTTCACAACACTTTTCCTTCAAGATAGGAGCCATGGAGGGGAAAACTTCCAACCTTCTGCAACCTCTGCACCCCATACATCTTGACACTTGTACTTTTTATACTCCATGGTCATTGTCTTACCTGTTTGGCTCTGCCATTGGCCTCAAGGTTTCTCAAGGGTAGGATCTTATTTAGCCCCGCATCCTCAGTGCTTAGCCCAGGTCCTTCCACACATTAGCAACTAGTAACGTTTGTAATTATTCATCTTTTGGCTGCCCCAACCAAGCTAAATATCTTTGGACCATGCTGGGAGTTGAATTAGGCCCCTGACACAAGACATGTCAAAGTCCTAACACACTGTACCTGTGATATTATCTGAAAATAGGATCTTTGTGGGAGTAGAGACAAAGAGAAACAAGAATGCCATGTGACCATGGAGGCAAAGGTTAGAGTTATGTGGCCACAAGCCCAGGAACGCTAAAACTGCTGGCGCCCACCAGAGGCTGAGAGCAAGGCACAAAACAGATTCTCTTAGAGCCTGAAGATCTGTGAGAGAATTAGTTTCTGTTGTTTTGCGCTACCTAGTTTATAATAATTTGTTGTGGCGGCCACAGGAAACTAATACAGCGGCATGAAAATCAACTGTATGATCAAAGACTATAAGGTTTATCACTCATCTTTTACTCAATTCCACAGACATTTGGTCTTTGCTCTTCTCGCCGATAAATCACAAGATTTGAGTTAGTTTCCACTTGTTGATTCTGATTAGGGAATGGCAAAATCCCAACTGAAGGACCAATGTACAAAAAGAATAAAGAATCTTCGAGGTACTTGGAATTCTGGAACTAGATTCCGCAGACTGTGCTGGTGATAATTGGCCTAAACTGGCAGTACCCAGCCTTCCCTGTTCCTCGTGGGGACACGCAGGTGACAGCTGACGTTCGCCTATCATAAGAAACACCCTAGGGGAGAGCTCAGACGTATTAAGGTACCGGCTATAGCTCTCACCAGAAAGCACACCAGAATGCAAACGGGGAAGCGCGAGCTTTCACAAAAGGACTAATCCTGAACATTCACAAACGCAGGCTCCCCGACTTACAGTAATCAATACTGGAGACAATCAGGTGGATGCAGGGATGATCTTTATGATTCCATAAATACAGCACCTCCAGAAGTCTCCAAACGCAGCTCGGGTCACGTTACTATCCGGCACCGACACCTCTGGATGGATCCCTGGAGAATAAAGTCAAATCCTTCAGCCGAGATCTCCCCGGGAGAACGCTGTCAGGGAAACGACAGCAGGTAGAGCAGAGGCTCTATCTTCACCGCCTTCGTTTCCGGCCCCAGCGCCCCGCCCCATGACGCAAACACGCCGCGCTGCAGCCTACGTCATCGCGGCGCGCCGCCGGGCGCTGGGTGCAACAGGCCATGGCTGAGCTGGGACGGGTTGTCGTG